AAACATCAAGTTTATTGTGCTGTTCTTACATTCCAAACCCAACCACCTCTCCCAATGGGGGACAGCAGAGGGAAGGATTTTCACAGTACCTGCGTGCCTCTGTCAGGCTTACCCCTCTTAACCCTCAGTCCATTTATCCATGGTCCACTGAAACGTAGCTAGGGACAAGGGCTGAAGAGAATGGGAATCTCTCCTTGGAAGAACAGGAGGAAGAGGCTAGAGAATTTGATACTCCCCACCTCCCATGCCCTAGGAGAACAGAGGTCAATAAACAGTCCATGCCATCCAGCCCACTGGGCTGGGGGAGAGGAAGATGGTAGTAACTCCAGTACAGCTGGGCTTGCTGCTTAGTTGTCAGAGGTATAGGAAGGCTGGGGCAACAATGTAGGAAAAGCTTTCTTTGCAGATCCGAGAAAGGAAACTTTGGAGCCAGAAAGGAAAGACTGGGATAATTTCTTCTTCCCCCAGGTCCTTAGGAGTAGTGGGCAGCTTCTTCACACTTTTTTCTGTTCAGGGGGCCACTTAGTGGCTGGGGGAACGGGCCTTGTGGAACAGGTACACAGGACGCTGGAAGCCTGAGAAGAGAGGGCAATCAGGAGGGGTTGGCAGGACCTCAAGAGTCCATAGGGTCTGCACCCTCTCCACCAGGACTGGCCTCTCTTCCTCCCCCAACAAAAAAGCCAGCCTTACCTTTGGAGGTGGTGTGGGGTGTGGCCACAAGCTCATAGCTGGAGAACCCCACCTCTGGGGATGTAAGGTAGCAACTGAACTGCTCTGGCTTCAGCTGGATTCGATAGTAGTTCTTGTAGATTGTTTCCTATGGACAAGGGCAGGGGACCATTTCAGCTTGCTGCCTTCTCCCTTGGCAGAGAATGATGCCCACCCGACAACCCAGGGGAACTTTTCACTTTGCTCAGAAAGTCCTTTCTGCTTCCTCGAGGCCTTCTTGCCTCAACTGAAGGAAGGATGTCCCACAATGTCCACTGAAACCCCAACTCACTGTGAGAGTCTTTCTCTTGCCATAGGATGACCAAGGTTGGGGTTCCAGGACCAGAATGCCCCCAGGGCGTAGGTGCCGGTAGATCCGGCGAAACATGCGCTTCAGTCCCTCATCTCCCCAGTTCAGATGCACCCACTTGGTGAGGCTGAGGCAGAGCACCACGTCATACTCAGGTGTTTGGGCCTCCACCAGCTCATCTCGATCCAGCACATAATTACCCTGAGGGCAAGAATAGGGGGCCAGGTCAACAAGAGGCATGAAAAGAACCACTGCCTCCACACAACTCGTCCTGCAGCCTCACTTTAGCCCTTCGCCACAGTTATCTGTGATACATGGTGCCCACTGAGTCTCATTTTCTTGCATGCTACTGGTGGTAAACCAATCAAATATAAAAACAGAACCCAGGCAATTTTAAATTGAGCAAAGTGTCCATGAGATCTCCAAAGCTGGGATGAAACTGCTAAGAATGCTGGGGTTCCTCCAAGACCCTGTCCACAAACGTAAGTTGAGGGACTCAACATTATGCAAAGGGACCTAACCGAGATTTGAAAAGGAAACCTGTGGTTCCTTCTCTGTAGTTGGGACTTGCAAAGTTTCAGGCTTGTTCTTTCTTTTCTTCCAGATAAGAGTCTCATCCCTCAGGAAACCTTTTCTAGATAAGCTCATTACTACCCTCTGGAAAAGTCCATTCTTTTAGGCTTGACGCAACATACTGCCAACACTATGGGGAACTATGTGCAGTCAAGGGACACATGCTGAAGACATGTTACTCCCTTCCTGCAGAGGACTCTGACTCTTCCCCATCCCATTGTCTAGGGTCAACGTAGAGATGACCTAATGTCAAGCCTCTTGGGTTCCTCACCACTCACACTCTTCAACCAACTCTGTATATAATGCAAACAAGATCCCTATCAAAGGAGAGAAACTGTAAATATTAGCCACTATCTAATCCCCACATCTGAAGACGTTCCATGTCTGACACCCATCCCTTCATGCATCTTCAGTAGAAAGTTTTCAGTAGAAACTAGACCAAAGCCCTTAGTATCAGCAGTAGCCTCCAAAGGAAGGTGGACTGGTCTGGATTATAATCCAGGCTGGGAGCAGGGCAAAAGAAGACCCTAATTTGGGGCTTGTCATGAGAAAAGAGCCCAGGTAGAGCTCCCACCTTTCTAGTTTATAGGAGGAAGAGACAACCTAGGTGAATCAGTTGCAGATTCAGACCCTTAAGGACCTGGTTCTCCTAGTGAGAACTGCATGTGCAGAAATCTGTTTCATACCTTCCCCTGCCATATTCCCGTTTAATCTCATCTTCATGCCTGGCCCCTAACCCAACACCCTCTTACCCTGACGAAGACAACATTGTTGGGGAAGACTGATGTGTCTGCTCCATCCAAGGGCAATTGGGGTGCAGCGATGGGACCCCTGCTGGCTGTCAGTGAGGCTGGAAAGCAACTTCTTTTTCGGACGGTCGTGGTCCCTTCCTCACTGTCTGCCTCTGGGTCCCCCTCAGAAGTCTGGGGTGGCAGACGCAGCTCCTCAGATAGGTAGTGTCGGATATTTTGGCGGGCCGAGTGGATGAGCTGGGCATCGATATCCAGGCCCACCATGCGGGATGGGCCCCATTTACAGGCAATGCTCAGGGTCAGATGGCCCACATTGCAGCCCAGATCGAGGACGTCCCGACCCCGAAACCACTCAGGCTTGAACACCCGAAGGCGCCCATCCTCACAGGAAGGATTGCGGTACCCATAGTACTTGGAATAATTCCCATACTGGAACTTCCGCTGTTGCTTTTTAAAGCCTGCTGCAGGTAGTGGGTGGAGGTGGTGGCGGCCTCCCCCACTCCCTCGGCCCTTTTCCTTGGGACCCTGGCCTCCACCCCTAGCCCCTGCCTCTGACTTGCTGGAAGTCCTGCGACGTTTTCGATGTCGTGAGGAGGAAGACGAGGGTGCAGAGGTAACTGAGGCAGCTGGAGGGGCTGAAAGGGAGCCTGAGGGACCCTGTAGGGCAGATGGAAGGGGAGACACGACCTCATCCCTGCAGTTGATGGCTGTGTTGAGTTCATAGGGCTGGGGGGCATCCCGATTCTGGCCCCTATGCCGCTGCTGCTGTGTGGTGCCCTCCCCATGGAGTGAGGGAGTGAGGGGGGCTGTGGGTAGCACGGAGTGGCTATCGTTCCCTCCAGTTGTTGCCTGCTGCTGCTGGTGGTGCTGTCCCCGGTGTCTATGCCGCTTCCGACCAGTCTTGAGTGGCGAAGCAAGAACTACTTGGGCCTCGTCAGTGCAAGTATTGAGACTGAGTGGGTCAGTAATATCTTTGGGGATGAGAATCTCCACTGGATCTCGCCCCTTGGCTGGAAGTGGGGATGACTTAGGGGTCTCTGCATTGAGTGCGCGGCTCACTTCCTCATCCAGGAGACTATTCAGATTCAGTGGATCAAAGATATTGCCCCCCAGGAGGAAGTTGGAGGGTAACACAGAGTCACAGTCCGAATTAACCCGCCTGCGCCTCTTGAAGGCCGGATGTTTGAAGCCTCCACCACCTCCTACATTGCAGCTATTTCTCCTCTTGCCCCCACCTCCCCCAGGGGGCCGGTGGGGTTGATAGCCATTACGGGGTCGAGGCGGGGCAGGGGGCCCCAGTTCTGTTCCGCCCCCTCCCCGTCGCTCCTCCCCAACGTCCGGGGGAGCGGCTCGCCCCTGGGGATCCGACAAGCTGGCCTCCCCTTGCGCCTGGGGGCCGCCCCCTCGTTGCTGCTGCGACTGGCCTCCCCGAGGGATGGATGTAGCACCGGGGCTCTCCTTCCCGGCCCCAGAAGCCGGAGCCCCGGCTGTGTGCGCGCGCGGGCCCGGCCCGCGCTGCGTCCCGCCGCGGAGCTCCCCGGAGGCGGCCTCTCGGTGCGGCTGCACCGAGGGGCCGCCCCCTCCGCCCGACTCCTCTTTAAGCGGAGGCGGCGGGGCCGGCACCAGAAACGGCTCCTTCTCTGCCGCCATCTCGATCATTTCTTCCCCTTATTCCGTCCCAGTAGAGGGCTACGGAGGGGGGGGGCAGGGGGCTTAACCCCCCTTCTTAGACCCTGCTCCCTTCCCCCTCTCGAGTGCGCGCGCAGCTCTGCTCTTCTCGCCTAGTCTCGCGCCCAAGCGCCTCCCCCGAAGCGCGTCCCACTCGCCCGCGAGACCACAAGATGCCCGCGAGACCCGAACTCGAGGAATCAACTGCGCGTGCGCGGACCCTTTTCTCCCCTACCACTACCACTTTGGCGCGAGCGCGCGCTGCTGGAGCGCGTTCCTCACGTCCCGGAATCACGCATGCGCACTCTGCCACCACCCTGGTCGCGCGCGCATCCGAGTACGAATCAACTTAACGGCTCCGGGAGTTTAAATATAGCCCCCCCTCAACCCCCACAAAGAGCCCACCACCCCAAACTGACACCCTACTTCCCTTCGCAGCTATGTTCGTCCCTACTGATATCCTTTGTCTCTGCCGCGCGATCCCACCCACCGTAGGCGGGATACGGGGAGCTGGTGTGAAAAGGTCTCCTTGACACCCGACCCTTGTTCCTGAGGAATGAGTCTCAGCGGTCTCCGCCCGGCTCTAAACCCAACAACCTCCCTACCCCGCCTCCTTCCTCCCCCTAGCGGGCAGCGCCTGCGCACACCCTTTAGGGCTTGCGCGGGTAGATGCAGCACGTGCTGGAGACGACACCCCGCCCTCCGCCTAGGGGCGCGGACTGTTACGTCGCTTCCTCAGGTTTGGTACACGTAACGTGCGTCAGCACGATTGGGGGGGCGTGGCGAAGGAATGGGATGGCCCTCATGAATTATTTATGACATGGATTTCCCCCTCTAACCTCCCCCCTCCGCTTTGCCCACCTCCTTAGAAAGGTTTCCGAGGGGCGGAGGGGTGAAATTTAAAAGTAGAGGAAGGGAAGGAGCGGAGCGTACCGACCGTCTTGCTACGAACTGTTCTCAGTAAAATACGATAGGTCATTTTAACTCACCCCCCTGGAAAATATTCGCTGCTGAACTGAAAAAAATCATCACTTTTAAAACAGCCGATGTTGTCCAACTTCCTCTTCCCCGGAAATGGCTGAGTAGTTCTCTGCTCCTCCGCCTTGCCCCAGTCGCGATCACCTGGGGACACCACGCCCTTTCCTCTGCTTCTACACGCACGGCCCCGACCCCAACGCCTCCGCCCACCACCCGACGCCTGCGCACGGGTTCCTAGCCCGCGGACTGCGACCCTGTGCCAACCACAGCCATCATATCGCATTCAGTCTTTCCCGAGCGCAAGCTGCAGCTTTGCGCCCCCTTCTAGAAAAACGAGTGTAGCTGGCGAAGAGGTTTTGGCCTACTTTGGGCCCCTGCCTGGGCCAATGGGGAGGAAGCTATTCGACGCCCTTTCCACTGGGTGCTAGGTGGCCCGTTCTCCCTGCCAAGTGCTTGGGGGTGCAGGTCCTGAGGCTGAGAGGAGGGCGGTAGAGGTGAGAGTGGGGTTAATATTAAAATATTAAAATAAGGGTGCGAAGGAGACTAAAAGGAAGAATAGGAATCGGAACGAAAAGACGAAGGAAAAGGCAGTCTGGGAGAGAAAAGTTAGGAAAAGAAAGATGTGCTTCCTTAACGATCAGGCGCTGCTGCTGCCGCCTTAAAAACAAAAAGGGTGAGGCCGACCAGGATTATGGGATTTGTAGTTTTACGGGACGTTCGATTGGAAGCTTGCGGAAATAACTCAGCGGCGCGAGCAAAGCGGCTTCCAGCTGCGCATGCGCCTCAGCACTGGGAGTTCGCCGCTTGAGGGAGCTGCGGAGCTTTGTGTGGCCTCGTGCCTTTTCTTGGTGGCGGGAAAAGTGAGTCGAGGTTGGAGGGGCTTGCGGGATTGCTGAAATTGGTCACCCTGCTCCTCGTTCCAGAAGGTAGCAGGCTCCTCTCCCTTTGCAGGTGAAGTTTCTAGGTGCGGCCAATCCTGGAACCTTTCGTCTGAGGAGTTTTCTCTTCAGTGCGACAACCAACTCTTACCCCTGTTCCTTAGAACCTCTAACCCCAGACTCACCTCCAACAAACAATGTCACGGTGCTCCTTTAAGAATTTCATGGCAGGCAACGCTGGTCTGAGCGAGAATAAGGATACTGGTGCCTCAGCGGGAGGGGCAGCTGAGGGGAAATTCTCTCATGGTGGGGTTCTTGATGGGGAAGAAAAGCTAGAAAGCCATTATTTTACCCTTTGAGCGGCGTCAAGGACTTTTGACTCTGTGATACCTCCGATCTTAATTGTTATCCTTAAGAGAGAATTGGTGAGGGAAGAGAGAGAAAAAATGCAAATCACCAAAAATTCTTCCCTCAGACCTTTTACTGTTCCAAACCTTAGCACCCGGAGAGGGATAATGGTGCAGGAATCTGGAAGTTTGAGGTCCGTAATAGCGGCACATGTGGAAGCATCTGTCAGTAGATAGCAAGAGTCTGAACGAGATAAGAATCCAGAAAGAGAGTCAGTAATTTGGTGATAAGTGGCTATATCTCTGTGCTTTCTTGCTCTCGCTGAACCAAGAAGCTTTACTTCACCATTAATTTATTTATAAGCGTCTGTAAAAAGGTTTGCCGTATTTCCCCATGTATGTATGAGATGCACCCTTTTTTGAAAAAATTGGGATCTAAAAACGGTGCATTTATACAGTGGTTGTAGATTTCAAATGCCATAGATGGAACTGAGGACAAGGCAATGTATGAAGACTGATTGGTCATCAGACACAGATGAGGGCAAGCTAATGGTTGGGAGTTTTGAGAGTGATGAGGAATTGTATGAGTTTTATGATGAATAAAACTTGAGTTCAATAACTTTATGTAGTACATTTTTTTTCAAATTTCAGGCCCCCAAATTAAGGTGCATCTTATACATGGGAGCGTCTTATACATGGGGAAATACGGTAGTTCAAGTACAGTAGTTATGATAGTAATGTCTTGTTAGGTGGCCTAATATAGGCAGTAGGGTAGCTGGAATCTTTTCCCTCTGTTTTGTTAAAAGTTTTAAATCATGCTTGCTGAGCACACACACAAAAAAACAAAGGAAACTACTATTACTAATAGAGGCATGAAAATAAGCAGGGGTCTACACACCATTAGACATTAAAGCCAAAAGCAAATCGAACTCCAGCCTAAAGGAGATTTTAAATATAGTCTTTAAATACAGATTTTCGAGGCCCATGGAGTCTGTGTTAGAGGACAAATCTAAAAGGGTTTATTTTTGTTCTCTTAGACCAAGGATTCCAGGGACAATATAAAGAAGGACTATTGGATAGTTAGGAGAGGGACATTTGTGAACACATTCTAAGTAGGGGGAGGAGGGAGGAGAATGTTTTTTGAAAAATATTGACAAGACTGAATTATGTTATTTAGATCAGTTCTCAAACATGTTGGTCTCAGAACCCTTTTATACTCTTAAAATTATGAAGGACTCCAAAATATTGGTTTATATCTATATATTTATTGGTATTAATCTATTAGAAATTAAACAAAGTTAAACATATCAATGTTAAAATAACAATAAACCCATTACATGTTAACATAAATAACATTTTTATGAAAAATATTTTTTCCTAAACGAAAGGAAAGCTAGTGTGAAGAATGGTGTTTTTTATGTTTTTGTAAATGTATTTCATATCTGGCTTGATAGAAGACAGCTGGATTTTCATGCTTCTGAATTAAATCCGTTATGATACAGGCAGGCATACCTCCTTTTATTGCACTCTGCTTTATTGCACTTCACAGGTGTGTGTGTGTTTTTTTTTTTTTTTTAGCTGAGCCATCCTGCCACCTGTTGGCAGCTCAGCTGCTGCTTAGCTCGGGCCGGGCATCGAACTGCTGTTGCTCAGAGCTCAAACTCTTGAACGAGCTCTTAACCAACTGAGCCACTCGGCTGGCCCTTCATAGGTCTTTTTTTACAAATTGAAGGCAAGACTCTCCACTAGAAAAAAGAGTACGGCTTGCTTTATTGCAGTACTCACTTTATTGTGGTGGTCTGGAACCAAAGCTGCAGGGTATGCCTGAATCTTGTTTTGGTTGAAGTATATGAGAAAATTCAGCCTAACACAGATAAATAGTTGGAAAAGGGAGGAGACCCCCAGGAATCTTTGGATAATACTTTGAGAGCTGCTGAGCTAGGTAATTTTATCTTAAAAACAATGTGATGATTTTTAATGTCTAAGTGAAATAAAACTTCCTATTTTTTTGGAATACCTCATTCACCTTCCCTTGGTGCCCTTTATTTGTTGTTTCTAAGTCTGCCCCCCCTTCTTATTCACCCTTCTTTTTTATATTGAATGAATAGCACCTGGTTTATAGAACTTTCTTTTACTTTCATATTTAAAGCTTTATTGGATTTTCCCCCTCTCTTTTTCATCTAAGGTAAGAGAAGGGAAATTAAAACCTCAAATGTTATCCCTGGATCTAGAGCCCCTAGTCATTTAGTAGCTGGTCAGATGAAAGTTGGTGGCGTTTTATATATTGAGTTGTCTGAAAGTCATGACGCATTTTTGCAACGAAAAAGATGGAAAAATACATCATGATTTTTCTGACAACCTGATATTTATTTACTGTCTTTTTAAAATTTTTCTCTCTGTGAACTAAATTTCAGTATTTGTTATTGTGGGAGAAAATAATTAGTCTGAAACAGAGAAGCAGAGACTTGAATTGTCAGACAGTGACTTTCTGGCTTCCCCTTTATTGATCAGTTTAGAGATTTTCTTTAAAAGTAAGGTTCTTCATTACTCCCCTCCCCTCTAGATTATACATCACTGCTTACAGATTTACTACATCTTATTAAGTCAACAATGATCCACAATTTTATCCAGTTGATTAGGGCTCCAGTAACACACTTTTGCCTAGAGAGGTCACTATGGGCTTAGAAAATGATTTGAACCTAAATATTGGAAACTCTTGCATTTTTAGGTTGATCAAAATATTCTTTTCATTTTACTTAAAGAATTTAAAATTTTAAAAAATCGTTTTTGAAGTGGTAATATATATATGTTATAAAATGCTAGAGATGCATAAGGTGGTACAGTAAAAAGCTCGCTTCCACCCCCAGCCACACAGTTCCATTCTCCAGAGGTACTTTTGTCAGTTCTTGTGTATTCTTCGAGATAGTTGATGGATATACAGCATATTATGTAAATGTACATTTAAAAAAAATCAAATATCTCAAATACACTAATTTCTCATTTCTCATTTAGTATAGCTTTTCTTATAATGTAGATTACCTTCATAGTGACTTCTCATGATTATTTTTGGAATTCTGGAGTCTGAGAGAAGATGTATTTGTCATTTGTGGTCGAATAAAATTGCAGCCAATTTTATTCAGTTTCTAGCTTCTATTTAAGATTACCATAAAGAAGGAGACCAATTTGCTGCATTTTTTCTCCCCCAATTTCCCATTTGCTTTTTTTCCTGGAGCAAATAATTTTGGGGGTTGGTGGTGATGAGTTAAATGGAAAAAGTAAGCAAATGTGCTCTTTAATATCAAGGAAAAGTAGTTCTGCAGATTATTTATATTCACATTATATATCATTATATTATAATTCACATCTGAATTATTTATATTTATACAACCAAGAAAAGGAACAGAAAAATACCAAAAGATAATTTAAAAATACTTTGCACTCAGCCATACTGTGGCCCCACTAAGTCAAGCCCCAACACCTTTTGAATTCATCTTGGGAACTAGGGAGAGGAACTCTACACCCTGAACAACAGAGTGTTTACTGTAGCTTGGTCATTTGAGGTCTTAACATTTCCAGATCCTTTAAAGGGAACTGTATATAAACTGGAAGATCCATTTTTTGCTGCTTTTGGGTCTCTGTATAGTGGCAGATGGCAGAATTAGAAGATTGAGTTTCAGGTTCAGACCTTCAAAGTACTCAAAACTAACAGCCAGAAATAAGATCATTGAGAAGAATAGACATGTTATTAATATCATTTAAAATCCGAAGGCCTGGGTATTAGCACTGAGGCTTTGGGCAAACCACTTAACCTGTCTTTGTATATTTTTTCATCTGTAAAAGGGGGAGATGGCATTCTATTACCTCTAAAGACCCTACCAGAGCTACAGTGTTTGTTATAACTGTTAAAATAAAGAGTGAATTATATGCTTTAAGCCTAAAAAAACTGGGTAGAGGGTTATAAGAAGTTTAGGCTGATAAAACAAAAGGCAATTATCTTCAAATAGCTGGATAGAAAAATTATCAATATCAATATCAATATAGATTGAAAAATGTATAAATTATTGGAATATCACAAGATGAGTTTTGGCACTCTCCTGGGCCACAGATGACTTATAGCTGTGTAGGTATACTAATCTCCAGCGTATGATGTGATTGAAGGCCCATCACTTCCATCCCTCCATTGCCTATGGCTGTGAACAGCCTGGTCCTTTCACTCTAAAGTACCTAGAAATATAGTTTTCCATGTGCTTCAATGTGTACTTTTAGTCTACACTTTTTGTGTGTGCTATGAGGTTAAAATGCTTGTGAAGCACTGAACTAGACTATTAGGATGTAGCATAGCTTACAGACTTTTAAATCAGACAGTTGTAATCCTGATTTTACCACTCATCAATTACTTAATATCTCTAAATCCCTCTAAGCCTCAATTTCCCCAGGTGGCATTTATCTCATAGGTTTATTGTGAATATTAAATGAGATGATATGTGTAAAGGGTAAGAAATATGATCAATGTTCAATAAGTGTTATTCATTATTATTAGTCACAATTTTGGTAATAATAATGAAGCATATTGATGTAATGTAGAACATTTGTGAGTAGATAGTGACACATGAACTATGGCTATAGAGAGGAGATGCTAGATTCTTATTACTCGCTTCTCTGGGGACCTCAGTTGGTTACCAAATATTTCCTAGCCATGAATAAAGATTGCTAGAATCCAGCACACTGGAAAATTTATTGGACTAGAAGATCTAAGTAAAGGGAAAAATATACATTAGAGTGATGTTAAACAAGGAGGTCTCTATGCATAGGGACCTCTGAATTAAGTCATAGAATTGCCAAATTATTTGTGTTTTAAGCATTTAACTTGTGAAATGAGGTTATTTCTCTGAAGAAAACTCTCTTGAACTCCCAGCCAGGCCCGTCCATACTCTACTACTACTATCTTATTATTATTTATACTTCCATCTGTTAAAAACAAGACAACAAGCCCCAAATGGAGCTTCTTATGCTAAGCCCCATGTCACCAAACCAAGACTTAATTTAATTACAGTTTCAGCCCTCCTAGAAATGGAATCTTAAGCCAGTCAATCAGGAATTGCCTGATCAGCACTAGCTTGGCAATCTGCCAGATAGACCCTTTAACTTCCTTGTTCTTCTCCCTTCTGCCTATAAAAATCTTTTATTTTGTATAGCTTCCTGGAGCTCCTTTCTGTCCGGTAGATTGGATGCTGCCTGATTTATGAATCATTTAATAAAGTCAATAAGATCTTCAAAATTTACTTAGTTCAATTTTTTTTTTTGGATCAAACCATTTTATTGAGAGCTTTGCGGGGAGGGTCGAAGGGCTGGGAATACGTTGAGATACGACGTCTTTGGCCTGCTGGGATCCCTCAAGCTTCACAGCCGCTGAAAGCGAATTTTGTTTTTTTTAACACATCACTACCACTATTACTACCTACTGACGAGTGCCTGCTTCATGCTGGACATGGTTCTAGGCACTTAAAAGACTAAGGATTATTGCTAATCTTTAAAACAGTAACCCTCCTTATCCCCTGGCATGTAATTCGCACTGATGAGAAGTGTAGTCAAGAAGGCAGAAAATGTAGTTCAGGGGTTCCAGGAAAAGAGATCCTGAACCCAAGAAAACAGGGAGAGAAGAAAGTTTAAAATCATATTCAATCAGAGTCATTATTTATTTATTTTTAATTTATTTATTTTTCCTAACAGAGACACGAAGTGTAGCTTCTGAGCTGAATGATGACAACATTGCAGAGTAAAGAAGGTGAGTCAAGAGTGATGAAGTTCACTTTATACATTTCTCTCATTTCCCCCTTCTGTCTCAGCTCTTGGTCATCTGGACCAAAAGGTCCAGATGCCCACCAAAGGGAAGCTCAGTTCACATATATTTTGTGTCCACTCTGTTAAAGTTGCTACGTTTCTAGATACTTTGAGTGAAATATGTATGACTTAGAAAACAGTCCTGCTCAAGGAATATATGAACTTGTAGGGAGAGAAAAAACATTTAAATATCTATAACATAAATTTGAATGGGGTGAATGCTACCAGGGAAGTACAAAGTGTTATGGAAGCTCAGAAGAAAGAGATATTATTTATATCTGGGAGGATCAATCCAATTTTCATTGCATCATTTGTAGATTTTGACTAGTTTTTTTCCATTTTCTCTAATTTCTTGTAAAATATTGTCCAAAGTTAAAATGAGCAAATTAAAAAATTTCACATTTGAATAATTCAGTTTTCCATATGCTTATATTTATCACCTTTGAGTTATGTAGTGGTTCCTAAGCCTGGAAGTATGTCAGAATCATCATCTAGATAGACCTGTAAAACTACAAATGCTTGGGTCTCATTTCAAACTACATCAGAATCTCAGGGCAGGTGGGGTGATGATGGGTGAGGAAAGGCCTAGAAATCTGAATTTATTAAAATTTTTTCCAGATAATTCTGATATGGCCAGTCAATGGGCAGTGTTTGGCAGTCCCTGTATTAGACTCTATGTTTCATAAATTCCATTTGATAATCAAATTTCTTTCAGAATATGGGAAAGGACCAAAAAAAACCTTTGCTCCACCTGCACAAAAATTGCATAGCCTGATGTCCTATAGCCCTAACTCACCCAAAGAGGAGACCCTGGGGATCAGTTCTCCAGTGGTACAAGCCAGGCCAAACCTGCTAAAGGCCAGGTTAGAGAAGAAGAAGAAGAAGGCAAAAGCAACCACAAAGAATGGTCCAAGCAGTGGCCAGGAGAAGAAAGTAAAGGCTCAAGACAACAAGCAAGCAGAGAAGAAAAAAAAGGTATCAGTTATATTGGGCTTTAATGGCACAGTTTCTCCTAGTCATCTAGCCTAGACAAACAGAATCTTTTCATGTTGGGGAAATACATCCTGTAGTTTCAGTCTCTTATTCCTTTTCAGTTTCTTATTCCTTTCCTCAAAGAGGTAAAAAATGTTATGATGAAAGCATTCAGCAGGAAATAAAGGGTAGGGAAGGGCTGAAGTGGGTTGGAGATGAGAGTAGAGGTGGACAGAAACTTTATCAATTTTTTCCTTTCGCTCCTTTATTCCCAAGGGATCTGGGATAGCGTTAATGGGGTCCTTAGGTATGTTCATTGACTTCAGGCTCTCAGCTTTGTGAATTTACTGCCTCATCTAAAGGAGGCTTCCCTGACTGGCCATACAGGAGGAATGGGAAAAGATGAGCAGTTTTCCTCCCCTACCCTTGTCTCTGCAGGAAAAATCAAGTCTTACCAATGCAGAATTTGAGGAGATTTTCCAGCTTGTGCTACAGAAGTCCTTCCAGCAGAGCTTGGGTATGCTTATAGTGAGCGAAAAAGAGTTTCAGTTAGGCAGAGAAACTGTTATCTGAGGTGTAGAGTAAGTTGACAGCTTCATTCCTTTCTTCCATGTTCCTAAGTAAGAAAATATTAGATGGAACTTTGAAATATTTTAAAATACTTCTTCTTCTATCAACAGGACTATAGCCAAACCACCTTAGCTAGGGGGTGCAGACTTTTAGAAAAGTAGATTACATTGACTTCAGAATATAAATATAATCATCTCTAGATTTTAAAAATGTAATTTAAATTCATTTTTATATGGTTACAATATACTTACAAAAGATAAATTGTTTTTCCCAGGTTTAAAGAACTTAGCTTCCATCTATCCTTGTATATTTTCTGTTTTGAATACTGTTTTTTTTTTTTTAAGATTTTTATTGGGGAATTGGGGGGATGGGAACAGTGCTGGGGAATTGGGGAAAGGGGAACAGACAAGTTGCTG